GCCTAAGAAAGAACATGTAAATTACTGTGAAACCTTCTTTGTTCAAGAATGCTCTCAGTTGAATGAGGAGGGTCTTAGGAGGAAGCTAGTTTGTTCCTCAGCCTTACAGCTCTTTGACCCCCCAACTCAATAGACCGGCAGAGTTCTTTGTTTTATATGTTCCTTACTTCCCCTAATGAGTATTGTACGTTACCTGAGTTATTATGCAAAATGAGCCTAATAAAAGCAGGTATGGACGGTGGATCAGCGCGCTCCCCACTAGGGGGGGTGGCCATTCTGTCCCTACTTCCCCACAGAAACTGGTTTGTCTCTGTGCATGTGTGTTTTTTCTCGCGTATTGTCGAGCCATCCACAGTGTGCCGTGGTCACTGCTAGCCGGTGACCCACGCGCAACAGGCTCCTATTTCAACCAGTAAAACTGAGGCTTTTCCCAGCTAATGGAGCTGTACAGCTCCAACCCACCAGAGAGGCTGTATTTCAACCAACCACAGCAGTACCTTTTGGACCAATCAAACTGTTGGGATTTGGAGTCCTTATTTGCATGAGGAGAGACCAATCAGGCACCAGGTGTAGGGGCTTTTGTCCATATAAGACAGCTCCCCTCTGGCTCTGAGATCACTTTCTCTTCCCGCCAAAGACTGAAGACTGAGTCTCCCTGGCTGAGCTGAAACACCAAAGGTGTCTTGCCGGAGCAGAGCGGGGCAGACCAGCACAGTGTAAAGTGGACTGGGAAGCAGCACAGCAGATTACCCAGGAGCAAAGCAGAGCTGCCCAGCCAGTGAGGGGCCTGGCCCTGGGGCTGCCTCACAGCTGTGCAGTTTTCACAGCCCTGCCGTATCACAATTGAGCTGTTTTGCACTGAATAAAGTTTTCTTTTTCACCACACCCCAGATTGGAGTTTCCTGTTGGTGTTGAATTGGCCTTAATGACCATCAGTTAACAAAAGGATTAATTATAGTCTTTAAAGCAAGGTCTTACTTTTTGTTATTTTTAACTATGGTAAAATGCACACAACATAAAATTTACCATCTTAACGACTTTTAAATATACAATTCAGTGGTGTTAAGAACATTCACACTGCTGTGCAACCAGTCTCCAGAACTTCTTCATCTTGCAAAATTGCAATTCTTTACCAACTAAACAACACCCCACCCTCCCCTCAACCCCTGGCAGCCACCATTCTACTCCATCTTTATGAATATGACTACTACCTCGTATAAATGGAATCACACAGTATTTTGGTTTTTTGTGACTGGCTTATTTCACTTAGTGCAATGTCAAGATTCATCTTACGTTGTGGCAGGTGTCAGAATTTCATTCCTGTTTAAGGTGGAATACTATTGCATTACATTCACATACCGCATTTTGTTTCTCCACCCATCTATCAATGGACACTTGGCTTGCTTCCAACCTTCTCTGACTTACTTTTTAAACAATTTATTTAACTGAGCAGGCACTGGTGCTGGAGTCAGACCACCTGGGTTCAACTCCCACCCCTCCATGGTAGCTGAGGAAATACATGTTAAAAAGAAAGAGGGTAGAGGAAAGATAGGTATACCACGAAGCACTCAGCAAGTAAAAATACTGACATCACTACGTTCTGATGAGGGTTTTCAGACACCGGAAATTCATTCAAACATTTGTTTTTCAGTACGAATATGAACAAGCATATGCTAGATGCGGAAAGTGCAGAGACAGTGCCTCCTTTGAGGGCAATGATGGCAAAGGACAGGTGTCTGACAGGTAAACAACTGTAAACAGTGAGAAAAGGAAGGTGAGAGAGGGGTGCAGGGCCGAGCCCCACCCTCAGGCAGGGCTCTGGAAAGGCTTCCCAGAGCAGAGTCCTAGAGGAGGGAGAGTCAGGAGGACACAGAGGAAAGAGAAGGCTCTGCAGAGAGGGGACAGCAGAACAAGATGTGGGTGTGAGAGGGGAAGCACAGGCTCGGAGGCAAGAAGCTAACTTGATGAAAAGGGAATCCCAATAAGCAGAGCCCTGAAACAGAACAGAAAAGGCAAAAAAAAAAAAAAGGGCTAATGTAGTGTCAGTCGATAGGAGGAGAGGAAAACCCACTGAGGCCAGGCATCCCTGGATACCCATTCCGGTGCCAGTGTGACTCTCCTGGCCCTTGGCTGTAGTACCCTCAAGTGTGTACGGCTCAGGAGTACACATTAAAATCATAGCAGCAGAAGCTGAAAATTATTAAAAGACCCAATGTTACACCTCATTCTATTACGTGGAAATATTTTTAAAGTCTAAACATGTCCAAAAGAAGGCCACTTTATAAAATACGAAGTGATCTACTCAAGTCTCTGCTTCTTCAAATATGAGCAACTTGTCAAGTTACTACATTATAGTTTTATATTAGTATTTACTTTCAATACCTGCTTCATTCCAAATTAAAAAAAATAGATTGAATCATCTAGGTTTATGTCATCCAGTAATCATATCTCAGGGGCTCACAGAACTGCAAGACCTACAAGGCTACCGTCTGCAAATAGAGTTTCTATTCCCCAGAAACTACACAAGGAACTAACTAGACCATGAAAATGAGGAGAGATCTGCGCCCTGCTCAGGTGCAAGACCAGGAGGCCACTGGCAAACAGTGATGATGATGCAATGACACATGCCAGTACAGAAGAATGTGGAAGGGATAAGAGGAGGCACCTCCAGGTCCGGGACATCCCTTTACTCACTTTTCCACTCACTTGCTCACCCACTCATTCTTTTCTTCAGGGCCTCACAGGTGCCAGGAGCTGTTTCTATGTGTTGGAGATGCCTGTGCAGGAATGCCCCACAGGTAGCTGTTGAAGGAGGAATAAGAGTGCCTCGGGTGCAGGTGGGAAGGAAGAAAGTGTTACGGTTGAAAGAAGAGTGTGGAGACCAACACAGCGACCAGCAGTCACAGTGAGCCGGGAAGGGACAGACAGGAGAGGAGTGGAAGGTGGGGGACCCGAGAGGGTGCAGCCAGGAGCACGGGTTGCAAGACAGCAGCACACCTTTCCCTTGACAGGAGAAAGGGGATGAAGGATGTGTGGAAACAGGAATACATCTGAGGATAGGGAGAGACCAGAAATGCGCCAACAGGGCACAGGTGGGGTAAAACATGGTGAGCAGCGATTCACTGAGAAAAAAACTGTCATGAGTCAGACACCCAGGATACCCATATTGCAAGTCTTTTATGGCCTAATGCTATTAAATATTTCAATCAAACCTCTCCCCGCTTGCATTCCGTGACCACCGTGCACTGGTACGGATTTTCTGCCTGCCAGAGGGAGAAACAACCCTGTCAGTCTTTCGTAATCTATCATTTGTTTCTTGCAGGTCTGGGGAAGGCCCACTGCTGAAGGTCCATACTGTGATTCCAAACAGGACTCAGTGAAGAAGGAGTAATTCCTGGGAAACTGACTTTCCGATGCTCATACTGCCCAGTTGGAGACTTGGCTCCCTGGTAACATCCTGATCTCTGCCCAGGGATCTCTGCCGCAGCACTGTGACTGCCACTAAAACCCACCTCTGGATGTCCTGCTCTGCCCTTTTGCACCTCCCCCACCCCCAACATTCCCTGTCTTACTACTCTAATAGCTTCATATCAGAGCATAAACACCCTATTACTTTGCATGGGCCCAAGTAGACCTCAATCAGCTTTTGATTGCTCCCCTCTTTTGTACAGTCTACTTGGGCTCTTTCCTATGGTTATCTCAAGGTTTTCATAACTATGGTCTACACTGTGTGTCAATGACATTGTTCTCTTCTACGCATCCAAGCCATTCACAAAAACATTAAACATCACAAGAACTAAGATTAGACAGACAATTCCCTATGTCTCTCAAGTTGGGCCTGAATTACTCAGGCCTCTGAGCCACTTGAAAAGAATTTGAAAAATTATTCTTTGGTTATTTTTATTTGTATTATTAGCTTTTGGCCAATGTTTTCATTTTTCTATTATTAGTAACTCAGACACAATCCCTTTTAAACTCCTCATACTCTATTGTTTTAGTACAAAGCAGTTCATTAACACAAAATCAAATGTTTTCACATCCACTCTTTAATTTTAACTAGTGTAACAAAAGTAAAAACAAAAAATACAAAATCATGAAGAAAACCTCTACAGAAATTTGTTAAACGAAGAGGAAGGGCGTAGGGAGTTTTCTTGACGATATGTATATGTGAGTACAGCTTACCCATTTTCATTAAGGTATCTCTAGTTTCTGAAGAAAACTAAAAAAGGTTTGCTCTGCTGAAGACAGGAACCATATATATAACTTCCCATCTCATACTGTTGCATTTCAACATTAATGATGTCCCTAAAGTTCTTTTTTTTTTAAAGTTTAGTCTTGCCAGATGTAATAAAATATCTTGTTGCAGAGAAACACAAAATTACCGGTTATACTAAAACAACGTTCCCGAGATTTACATTTGCCCTCAGACTAAAACCAACCATACAATCCATTAAGGTGCTATTCTCCAACACTTCCGGAAAACATACCCTTAAGATGTTATAAGTCAGAAAGGAAGATCATCCTTCAATTTCCTAAGCCATTTTATTTAAATAATTATTTTGTAGCATGGTCAAAATTATGGTGCCCATCTGATTAAGGGATGCATATTTGAGAAAGCTTAATACTCTGTCACAACTTCCAAAAGGAGAACAAATTTTTCCTTTCAAGTGAACAGTTTTAAAAAAGACTCATGTAGTTCTTTTAACTACATTATTGATTTAAGTCATTTGCCACTTTGGGAAGTGAGAAATTCTGAAGAAGTTGGTAAAGTCAAATGCAGATTACAGGTTTTACAAAACGAATAAAAGGATTCAAAGCAGCCAAGTAATTGTATTACTTTGAAAAAGTATTCATATCTTAAAATAGTACTTTGTTATTAATCAAACTATTGAAAGTGAAATGAAATTAACATATTTCAAACACAGCCATAATGCTGAGTTCAAGTCAAACCATACAAATCTTCATTTCTTAAGTAATTTAAGATTAACAGACTCACTTACCTGGAAGTATAAAAAGAGAAGGTTATGGATGGAACTACATCATTCCTCCACGGGGTAAAAATTCCTTGGATTCTCTCCTTGAAATGGAAAGGATTCTAAAATACAAAATAAATAAATAAATGAATAAATAAATTAAAAAAATGAAAATAGAAGTTAGCCTCTGTGAATTTCCATGTCTTAAATGTAGGTGGCATTACGAAATGGTAAATTTTTAAATCATGTAGTATATAAAAATACAATTCATCCAAAGTATAACCCCAAAAAGCAGAATGGTATTTTCTCCTATTTTAACTGGTAATATACAAAACGTTAAAAAAAACTCATAAAGGTTTAATAACTGGTGAAGCCACAAAGAAGTGTGTGTAAAAGCAAAGCAGAGTCATATTCACTTGATAAAGAATCAAAACAAACAAACAAACCCCAAACCTCGCAAATAAGAAACGTGCCTGCTGCCCACACGCTGCGTCCTAACTCCCTGCTGCTCGGCTTTGGGGCCGGAGCAGCACTGAGGCCAGTGGGCTGCCAGGTTGGGGCCAAGAGTTGAAATGCTGCCCCCCTCTGAAAGGACCGTGCTCCGCGCCACCACTTTTTTTTTTTATGGTTCTATGGAATGAAATGTTAAAATAATAATAACAAATCCTCCTGGAAATTTTCACCGGGGGAAGGAAAGGGTTCACACGTTCCGAAGAGTCGGAAGATGGCAGGAAAGCCCGGGTCCCCCGACCGCCCGCAGCGCAGAGCAGCGCAGCGCCGCCCCACCGGTAGCGTAGCCGCTGCTGCCTCCGCGCCTGCAGCGTGGAGCTCGAGCTCCCGGCAGGGTGGGCGCGCGCTCGGCCCCCGCGGGAAAGCGGCCCCAACGCCGCCCGCCCTCGGCTGCGCTAGCCCTTAGCCCTTGCTGTCTTCCCATCGGAGCGAGGCAGGTTCAGCCACGCGCCCCCCGCCATCCTTTCCTTGAAGGAATTCCACTGGAGGACACAGATGTGTCAGGGAAGATAAAAGCAGATGGAAACGGGATCACAAGCTCTGGAAGCAAGAGCCAGGAAAATATCTGGAAAGGGAATAAACCCTCCTGCTAGATAAGTGTTAATAGTGCTATCTTCAATTAATTAAGGCAGTCGTCTTTCCCAAGAGTTTTCATGATTTTATCTCATCTGTCTTTGCATTTCAAGTAACAGCAAAAAGTAAAAGGTACTATTGGTCCCGTTTTCCGTTTTACAAGCAAGAATTAAAAAGGTGCCGAATGGTGACACAGGGCCCCAGGAAAGTTTTAACCCGTTCATGTCTGCATCCACTAGCCCCTTTCTCCAAGGGACAGCCTCCTGGTGACTAAAGCTGATCAGCCACATTTTTGTGTATTCCTTCACCTCAGCTTGAGGTTTTCTGCGAGGCACTGGCATGAACAAAGTCAGTAGAAGAATGAGGTGTGTCACTACAGAAGTTTGGAGTCCATTTGCATACACACACGGTCACCCGCACTCTGTGGCTTTCACGTGACAGTGGGCTGGGCCAGGCGGCTCTGCGGCTCCGCACAGCGCCCTCTGCAGGTTGCAGCCCTGCCTCTCCTGGCTCTGTTCTCACAGCGCACTTCCGTCTCTGCCTGCCTAATTAATCTGTGTCTAAATGGAATTGCAGTTGGCAGAAAGGCGGCAATGCCAAAGTGGAATAATCACTTGGACCCGAGTCTGAGCTGTTTTCCATCCTTGACAACAAAGAATGTTATTCCAGAGCCTGCAGGCCAAGAGTTGAAATGAGTTTATAATTTGGCTTTTCATCTCATATTCTTATTCTCTTAAATTTTCTTCTCTGTCTTTTTAGCATGCAGGGGGCAGCTTTGGAGGCTAGATCACCAACACGGTCTTTACTGATATCCTCAATAAATTTTCTTTGCCATCTAAATAAAAAGGGGGGAAATCCCGACTATTCAAAACCACTCTTGTTTTAATAATGAAACTAAGTAGACTGTCAGCTCATACCTCCATATGATCATCAATAATCTAATTTGTTCTTCTCACTCCAGCAACTTGAAGAGAAATGTTGAACATTTTCATCTACACACACTCACCCAGCCTCTAAGAGTCTGGTCCTAGGGTTGCCAAACTGCAGGTTAAGAGCCATAGGATGGCTCAGTTCCTGCCTCTTTTCCTAATAAAGAACTTATTAAAACCCTGATCTTTGGCTCTGGGAAGTATATTGTCTCCTTAGCAGCTACACACATCATGTTCCCCAAGAAGGCAGTCATCTCAAGCTAGTACTGGAAAAGCAAAGAGGGGGACAGAACCATTGACAAGACTCCCTTAGCGAGCAAACACTGTGAAAGGGGGATCAGCATCATGAAGCATTACTGAAGGTGGACCACAGGTATGCTAAGGGAAGTGGTGGGTTCGGCTGGACTCATGCTCCATTAGGAGAACGGGAAGGAACCTCGACTGCACATCTGTAATATTCCATATGCCGAGCTATCTGCATGACATACAAATTCATTTGCCCCCCACAACAATGCTATGGACACGCGCATTAGTATTCTCATTGTACCCGTGGGGTAAATGGGGCTGAAAGGTGTTAGGAAACTTCCCAACTAGTGCACACTAAAGCCAGGGCTTTTCTCACTTCAAAACTGAAGCTCTAAAAAGAAAAAGGAAAGCAAGCCTTTAGTTTTTCTATTATGCAACACTGCCTTATCTGATTCCTCCTGTGTGATTCTCTAACAGAGGTGGGTGCTAGCTACCCTAAAGCGGGAGGGAACGTGGCCGATTCACTGCCGGCTTCCAAACACTACCACTGAGACCTGGAAACACAGACCCTCCTCAGCCTCCTGCATCCCTCATCCTTCGTAGGAGATTACAGAGACAAAAGCACACTCTTGGACAGGTCTCCCTGAGTATCAAAGAAAGAAACAATAAGAATGTGCTAAAAATGAAAGCTAAATCCAGGAGAGCAACTGCAGGCACACAGAGTAGATACAGTACCTTGCTTTGTCCGATTCAGCAAATAGTTGTCAATAACATTCCCTCAGTTTTATACTTGTATCCAGGGCTGATGTCTCCTTTCCTGTCATCTGATGCCCAGTGTGTTCTCAACAGTTTGGCACAAAGAGTGAGGATTACAGAGGAGCTTCTGTGGTGGCTTCTTGAATGTTAATTGTGGTAACGAGTGGACAGGAGAAAGCAAGAGGTACATGAGAGTGGCTGAGAGCATGTCCATGGAGGCATCACACACGTGGGTTTTGGAAACATCCCAGTTGGGATTCTAAAGGTCGGGAGGTCTGCCCCACTCCACCCCCAGGAATAGAGTTTGACATGCATCCATTAGCAGGACTCCGTACGTAAGTTGGCTTTTCATCATGCTGAAAGAAGGCTACCAAAAATCAACTGCTGAAAAGAGCAGTTGAAAATGGGGACACTGAGATCAAGAGTATTTTAACAATCTAGGAACCAATTCTATATGATGTATAATTAATGAGAGAAAGTTCCAGCATTTTCATTTCCAAAGAACTTCAAAAACACTATTGGTCCAGTGGTGTGACAATATCCACTGGTGTGCCTGGTAAGTCCCAAGGCTTCCTTGGCCTCACAAATGTAAATCTTTACATCTTTATTTCGCCTAAACTATATGTCAGATACGCTGATTCCTGAATAACAAATGAAAAGTACCAAGAGACTACATATGCCTCTGCCAACTAAAGCTGTCTGGTGAGATTTTCTTTGTGCATATGTGGATAATAACATATGTTTTAAAATTATAATGTTTTTTACTTGTAAAATCAATGGAGTCCTCTATGTCAGCAGTCCCTTTTGGGCACAAGGGACCGGTTTCGTGGCAGGCAATTTTCCACGCACCAGGGTGGGGGAGGGAGGAATGGTTTCGGGATGATTTGAGACCATAGGTTCTCCTAGGAGAATCTAGGCTGATCTGACAGGAGGCAGGGTTCAGGCAGTAATGTGGGCCATGGGGAATAGCTCTAAGTACAGATGAAGCTTCGCTTACTGGCCCACCACGCCCTTCCTGCCATGCGGCCCAGTACAGGTCCATGGCTGGGGAGGTTGGGGACCCCTGCTCTGTGCTATAGTGATGTTTTTCAGGTGTATAAGTCCACGGAGTCCTCTATGACATGGTACTGAAGACAGCTCAGATGGGGCCCACAGCGATGCAGTCAACTTCTAAAATGATCGTCTCAAGAACATGTTTCAGAAAAGAAGGTGCCCCCAGATGTGTGCATTACAAATTGCATGCTACTATATTCTTGACCACTTCCTTCCACGTTAAATGGTTTTACTGAAAATAGTAGGTTTTAGGGCACAACTGACTTTAAATGTCATGAGTTCTTCCCCCAAAATGTTGTTTTCTGTTATTCTGTGAAATGAAAAACAAGACCTCTGTGTCCTGGCCTCCTGTGCAGACTACATGAGGAGATACCTCCTTCTTATTCCTAATCCTTCCAGCGCAGGTCACTATGATCTTCTTCACTTCAATTGTTTCACTCTGATAAATGGGGATCAGCTCAGGTACTAGTAGCAGAACTACCAAGGCTATGAACAAAATTATCTTACTAAACTGTTTGAAGTCTTTTTTTTTTTAAATGTATGGGTTTATTATCACCTTCAAGGGTATCAAATAATATTTTCCTTACACTCCAAATATTTATTCAGCACCTCCCAAGCTGAGCAATGGGTGCCTGGGAGTTTCTTTTTTGAACCATCTTCACATTATCAACACGGGAACCACTAACATGATAAAGAATGAAACGACTCACACGCTAAACGGAGACACAAATAATGCACTGTTGGAGCATAAAAGAGAGACAGTCTAATTTGGATTGGAGAGAATCAGAGCAATAGCGAGCCTCTTGGAAAGAAATTAAATTGCTCTGTTTGCCAGCCTTTCTCCTAAATCAGTTAAGATACAGACAGACAGTTGATGGACCTTCATGAAAGAGAGCTGTTTGCCAGTACACAGACTGCAGTGTCAGTCATACTCACATGCAATTGCTCATTTTATGGGACACCCTCTCCCAGTAAATTCTTCTGGGCCAGCCCTGCCCCGATTAGACACTGCAGCTGCCTAACACATGTTAGGCACCATCGCGGATGCTAATGAGGCATTAACAGTATTTCAGAGAGATCTGCTACACTCAGTCCTGTGCAGAACAAGAGATTGGGTTTTCATCTCTTGTGGACTAACCATGTCAGCTCAAAATTCAAATGTTGAAATTCTAGCCCCAATGTGATGATATTTGGAGGTAAGGTCTTCGGGATTTAATTAGGTCATAAGGGTGTAGCTCCCATAAGTGGGATTCGTGCCCTTCTAAGAAGAGGCTAGAGGGCTAGCTAGTTCTTTTTTCACCATGGGAGGATACAGAGAGATGCCAGCTGTCCACAACCCCAAACAGGGCTCTTGCCCAAACCCAACCCTGCTGGTACCATGATCTTAGACTTCCAGTCTCCAGAACTGTAAGAAATAAATCTGTGCTCTTGATAAGCCACCCAGTTTATGGTGTTTCATCATAGCAGCCTGAGCCAATACATCATCTTAAATGCTCTACTGCAAGACTTTAGACAAGTCTATAAACAAAGGGGTTGGACTAAATCAATGATTTCAGTGAAAGAAGATGATCTTTACTTGTTGCCTCCTCACCCCCACTGAGAATCCCTGCATACTAAAAAATATATATGTTACTGATGGGAACAAGCTGCATGGAGAAATGATGAAGATGCAACACAGCATTTAGACTTAGATGTTAAGACTAGAGAAGGGGAGCTTAAAACAGTATAGGCTCTTGTGAGAATTAAAATTATGGCTTTCCTGAAGAGAAAGATTTTACC